ATGGAGCCATCAGATGGGTATGATGTGATCTGCTGCATCCCAGCTCCCAGCCTGGCCTACAACCAGCCTGGCATGTGCTACACCCTGGCCAGGATCCCCCAGGATGACCCCACTGCAGGTGAGAAATTGTGCCCCACAAATCCCTCCAATGAAGGTTTTGGGGAATGCCAGGAGTTGGGGGTGTGGGCTTTGGCTCGTCCTGAGCTCCTTGGATTTTTATTTCCTGCGTGCCTGGTGGTTTTAGTTTGAACTGGGTGGAAATACTAATTTTGTGTAGTGGTTTTAGTTTGTTATTTTGAGATTTTGTTAAATTTGAGATTTTTTTTTTTGTTCATGTATTAAAGAGTATGGTGGCTTTTGGTGTTGGCTAGTTATTAATGTATTTACTTCTTGTGTGAGGTAGGATTAGGAGGAAGGTAAAGCAGGTTTTAAACTTTAAAAGAGTATAAAGAAAGACTTAGTAACTAAAAGAAACAGTAATAAGAATTAGAATCAAATGTTTAGAATGCTTTTTTACATGTACAACTTCTCAGTAGTTCCACAAACTCTCAGTTACACAAAATCTGTTACATGACTGCCATAGATACGTCCCATAAAAAACCACCACAGTGTCTCACAAATGTCACAATCATTTTTAGCAAAATTATTTTTATAGGTAATCAGTGGTGTTGGAGGATTAAAAATGGGATAAGAGCATGCAGGTGATGGAAATTTGGATTAATGGCCTGAAATCAATGGAAGGAACACATTTAAAACCATGGATGTTTGCTAGTGTTCAAGAACAAAATCACTAAAAGGAAAATGCAGACAGAATAAAAATATTCCTAATTTGAGGCTTTATTTAATGGACTAATTAATTTTTTTCCTCTCTTTAGAGAATCAGAAACCACTAAAACATATAGGAGTGAGATTTTCTTGGATGTGAAACTTCCCTTTCTTTTCTTATTCTCACTTAAACACCACTGGGTTTGCAGTTACTTAACATGATTTACCAATGGAGTGGATTTTTAAGTTATTTTAATACCAGGGAAGATTAGAAATAATCTGAATTTGCTAAACTGTTGGTTTGGATGACATTCTTGTGGAATTTTTCCTAGTGGCTGCTGCTGGATTTCATGGCAGCATTGGGAATCAGTGATTTGTTACCCCTGGAACTCTCCTGAGCTCCTCCTTCGGCCTTTATTTTAAAATCAAAGGGAAAAATGATATTAAAATGCTCTGACCCGGCCACATCTATATTCCTGAGGGAAAACTGATGGGTATTGCAGTCTGTTTTTGGGAAGAGAGGGCTGCAGCAGAGGGATCTTCCCCACTTATGCAGGATTTCTGTCTCTTCCCAGTCGCTTGTACCTTCAGCTGCACCATGAAGTTCACGGTGCGGGACTGCGACCCCAGCACGGGGGTGCCAGAAGAGGATGGCTATGAGGATGAGTATGTGGTGAGTCCAGGATTTGTTCCCCATTCCCCATTCTCACTAATTTTGGGATAAATGTCACCATTGGGTCAAGTTTCCTCTCAATCCTGAAATCAGTCAATCTGCCTGAAACAGCAAAATACTGTAAAATGCCATTTTTAGATCCTTTCCCAAAGCTTCATTCCTGGCAAAGTTTTAGTGCCCTGTGGAATGGGATTTGTGGGGACAGAAAGGAGGGAAGGAAGAAATAACTTCCATTGTCTGTTTTCAGAATTGTGCTGGAGTCTTTCCACCCCAAACATTGGGATTTTTGTTAATTGTGTGGTCAATGATAGGGACAGAGTCAGATTTCAGGAAGTATTGGAGGAAATAAAGGCTCCTTCTGGAGAGAGCTGGGAATTCTCCCCTGGAGAAGGGAAGGATCCAGGGAGAGCTTCCAGCAATTCCAGGGGCTCCAGGAGAGCTGCAGAGGGACTGGGGACAAGGATGGAGGGACAGGACCCAGGGAATGGCTCCCACTGCCAGAGGGCAGCCAGGGATGGGATCTTGGGAATGAGGAATTCCTGGCTGGGCTGGGATTGCCAGAGCAGCTGGGGCTGCCCCTGGATCCCTGGAATGTCCAAGGAAAGGTTGGACACTGGGGCTGGAGCAGCCTGGGACAGTGGGAGGTGTCCCTGCCATGGATGGGCTGGCACTGGATCATCTTGAAGATCCTTCCAACCCAAACCATCCTGGAATTCCATGGATTCTGAGGAAGTCTCTCCATGGAAGAAGCCCAGGTCGGGCTGTAGAGGCTTTGATCCATCAAGTGATAACTTCATTTTCTGCTCTCCCTCAGTCTCACTGATATTTTGTATAAATATTTTTAAGGTTTACAGATGAACAAATAAATACTACTTATTTATTCATCATAAATACTATTTCCCCTCTTAAACAAGTAATATTTCCCCATAAATAACCATAAATACTATTTCCCCTCTTTTTAGAAGCTATTATGGTATGGTTCTCCTGGAATTAAAAGCAGGCATTGTCTTGTCAAAATGCTGTAGGCTCTTTTTCCCTTTCCAAGGTGAGGATTATTTCCATAACTGGCCTGAAAATTTCCATTTTCTTCTTCCCAGTTGGAAGACTTGGAGGTGACAGTGTCTGATCATATCCAGAAGGTTTTAAAGCCCAACTTTGCAGCTGCCTGGGAAGAGGTGGGAGATGACTTTGAGAAAGAAGAAACCTTTGCACTCAGTTCCATCAAAACCCTGGATGGTGAGAAAATCCCTCATTTATTGATCACTCACCTGCCACACTGGGGTTTTATTTAGTGTAATAAATAATTACCTGGAATGATTTTCTTCTTCAATTTCTGAATGCAGAGGCTGTCAATAACATCATCAAGTTCCTAGGCATGCAGCCCTGTGAGAGGTCAGATAAAGTGCCAGAAAACAAAAATTCTCACACCCTCTACTTGGCTGGTAAGTGTTCCTGCTGCTGAATTTCATGTTTCCATGTCCCCACAGATTTTTATAAATGAAGGGAAATGGTTTAGGAGATCCTGCTGTTATTTTGGGAGTTTTTTCTCTGTAGAAAGGAGGTTTTTATCTCTGAAGTGACCCAGTGTGTTGAATGCAGCTGGTCCTATCGTGGATATTTCTGATGTGCTCAGGCCAAACTCTTGGAATGGGGGAATTCCACCTTTGGGAATGGTGGAGAATCTCTGATTTGGGAACTTCCAGAGCAGACAGAATTAAATCCCTTAAATGCCTGAGCTTACCTCAGAAGGATGATTTTGGGAGGGTCTTGTTCTCACGTTTCTGTCGCTAAAGACACATCCTGAGTTTCCCTGCAGCACCCACAACTTCTTCTAGAATCATAGAATGGTTGAGGTTGGAAAAGTCCTCTGAGGTTGAGTCCAGACATTGCCACCACTGCCCCACGTCCCCAAGTGCCACATCCACAGGGCTTTAAATCCCTCCAGGGATGGGGACTCCACCCCTGCCCTGGGCAGCTGTGCCAGGGCTGGACAACCCTTTCCATGAAGGAATTCCCCAAAATCCCCCCCGAGGCTGCCCTGGCCCAGCCTGAGGCCGTTCCCTCTGCTCCTGTCCCTGTTCCCTGGAGCACAGCCCGACCCCCCGGCTGTCCCCTCCTGGCAGGGACTTGTGCAGAGCCACAAGGTCCCCCTGAGCCTCCTTGGCTCCAGGCTCAGCCCCTTCCCAGCTCCCTCAGCCCCTCCAGACCATTCCCAGCTCCATTCCCTTCCCTGGACACTCTCCAGCCCCTCCAGGTCTCTCCTGTCCAGGGCTGTCCCCAGAACTCCAGGGTGTCCCTCAGGGGACACTCCCTGCCCTGCAGCTGTGCCCACACCGGGGCTGGCACAGCCCAGGGACCACTGGCCTCTTGCCCACCTGGGGATGTCACCAGCACCCCCAGGACCTGTCCCAGCTTTCCAACCTGGAGCATTCCATGAGGTTGTGACCCACATGCAGAACATGGATGAGGACTAAAGCTGCCCTGCCCCGGGTCAGGATTGGATCCCCGAGCCTTTCCAAAGTGACCTCTCCGTGTTGCTTTGTCCCAGGTGTGTACAGAGGTGGCTGTGACGTGCTGGTCAGGTCCCGGCTGGCACTTGGGGACGGTGTGACCATGCAGGTGACAGTCAGGAGCAAGGACGAGACGTCCGTCGATGTCATCCTGGCTTCCGTGGGCTGAGAGTCCCAGCAGTGCAATTCCTGGGATTGCCCCTTTTTCCTGGCTGTCCTTCTGCATGTCGTTTTTATTCCTCGATTTGGGAAATCTTTTCTATGATGTTCATTAGTGGCTGGCTGGTACTGAGCCATTCCCATGTCCCTTCCCTCGTTGTCACACCATTCCTACCTAACTTATGGCATCTCAACCAGGGAAGAGGAAAGATGTGAGAAAACGGAATCAGATTTTTGTCAAAATTGCTTTTTATTAACAGAAAATAAACACTGGTTCAAGTGGTGGAATTCATATGAATTACTGTTAATAAAATAGAAAGTTTTGTTCTAATTCTCTCTGCTCCAGTACAGAAAAAATATCCCATAATGATTGTTTATTAAGCAAAAACCCCTTATTCCTAAAGGGATGCTATTAAATTCCCAACATGAACAGTTAAAAACCACCCCAAACCTCCAAATCTGCAGTATTTTTGTGACTGGCTCTTCTTCCACACAGAAAAATCAATGTACAGAGGGAGATTAAACTCCATCTCTTGAGGCAGACTCAATCCTCTGAGCTTTATGTCAGGTAATAACCAAACCTCAGGGCAGCCTTTTCCTGGGTTCAGATTGGGAAAAACCCCACATGGAAAACTGGGAAGGGAAGGGAGATGGAGGGATTTTGTAAGGGAACTTCTTCCTCTCCCTGCTGATGAAATAGTTATTTCTTCCCAAGTCAGGGTGATGAAGGAAGTAAGAAATCTGATTTCATGTTAATTTAAACCTCTGCCTCTCTAAATAGAGAGTTAAGCTGGGCAAGAAGGTGAGTGCAGGGCTGGAAAAGCTGCCAGCATCCTGCTTTTCCCCTCATTTTTCCAGCTGTCCAAGGATTTAACTCAATTTGGCAGCCCAGGGTGAGGCTGTGAGCGCAGTGTTGGATTTGGGAGAGAAAAATCAATGTTTTTTCCTGCCCCCAAAGCCTGACTCTAAGCAAAGAGTGAGACCTGAGCTGCAGCAGCTCAGAAGGAGTTGATGAAGTTCAGATAGGCATTCAGAAATCCCATGGGATCCTCCAGCTGGGGATAGTGGCTGATGTGGTCATCCAGCACGGACACTGTGGACGTGGGAAGCACCTTCCTGGTGGGAGAACAGAGCAAGGCTTAAGCACAGGAATTGCTGCAGGCTCAGCCCTCTTGCACAGCCAGGATCCTGCCCATTTTTGGGATAAAGCCTGGAACAGCTCCATCTGATCCCTTCCAAGTGCTGGATTTCCTTCAGGTTAGTTTGGAGGAGGAGAGTTCCTCAGGAAACACATCTCCCCTGTGTGGTTTTAAAATGGATCGTGACTGAAAATCCTGATTTTGGTGCCTAAAATGCAGAACCAATTTCCAAACTGCTCTGACTGAACCACTGGGCTGTGCAGGTGCCAGTGGGAATTAAAAACAGCCTCCTTGAGGATGGAATTGAAGGAATAGCCAGGCAAAATATCCCTTGGAATGAAGCCCCAGCTGCACATTCCCACTTTTGTCTTACTTGTAAAGCTGGAGGAACTCCGGGTGTGGATTCACAGGGTCCAGGGGCCCGTAGATGAGATGCACTGCAAGGGAAGCACAGACAGAGCTTTTATATCCATAAATTAATGGATTCATTAATTAGAACATCCCCAGGGAGACCTGCAGGAGTGTTCCCTCCTCATGCAAAGCTTGGGAAGCTTCCAGTGGAGCACTGAACAAAACAGCTCTGAATGGGCTTTTGCTGGGCTGCCTTGGGGTCAATCCAGCCTCCAACCCCCAAATTTTCCCCTGGTTGCAACTTTTTGGGCTTGAAAAGCTCCTCAACTTCCCTGGAGCAGCACTTGGAGAACCAGCTGTGAACCAGGGCACATTATCTCTGCTGCGAAACTGGGTTTGAGCTCAGAATAACGAGAGGCTGATGGGTGGAAGGGAGCCTGGAAGTGAGGGGGACAATTCCCAAAAATCCCAAGCAGTAAAGGGATGGATTCCTACTCACGTGGGACCGAGGTAGACATCAAAGCCCCAACCCAGCGCTCTCTGTGCTTCTTTCTCTGGTTTATGTACTGCAAAATACTGAAGGAAGGAAGGAAAAGTCCTTGTTACGCAATGATGCTGCCCAGCCTGGGATTTGCTCCCAGGGCAGATGAGATCCAGGTGGGATCTGCATCTCCCATGGGAATCCAGCACCACACCATCATCCCTGGGCTTGGGGACTCTGTTCTTCCACTGGGGGAAGGGGAGACAAGGAGCTGAACTCAACCACCAGCCCAAGAGCCTTCTAAAAGCCACAAACTGGAAGAAACACGTCCTTCCAAAATTGCCAAGCTGAAGATTCGGGATTGGGACTTTTGGGAGTGGCCCAGAAGGTTCAAATCTAGAGGCAAATCTCTCCTGGGACAATGCTGCTCCAAACCACTGACTGCCAAAGAAGAAAAATCCACATCTCGCATCCAACTCCAACCTTCATTTCCCTGCCCTGCATCATCCCGGAGAATCCCTACGCCACCATCACCCCCCAGCTCTTTCTTGGGATGTGATGTTGATCCCAGACTCCAAAAGCAGCAGCTGGAAGTTCTGGAGAGCCTGGCTGAGCTCCAGGAACCTCGGAGCAGGGGTGACATTCAGCTGATGCAGGAATTCAGGCCAAGGTACCTGTCCATAACGAGATTCCCGTCGTTATTCCGCACTGCCGTCCACATATCCCAGAATTCCGCCTGGGAGGGCTGCGTGTAGGGCCCAAAAACTGCTCTGAGCCTGGAAAAAAAATGGAATTTGGAGAGACACGGCAGCAGCTGTGTCAGGGAACCACTCAAAAACTACTCTAGGGCAAAAAATTCCAGCGCTTCCAGTTTGCACAGCAAAACTCCAAGTGCTAAGATGTCCCCCAGAAAAGTTGGGGATGGCCTGAAAGGGCTTTTTTGGGGAAAAAAGAAGAGGGTTTTTAACGCTGCTAAAAATACAAAAATCTGGTTGTGCAGAGGCTTTGTTGCCTCTGAAATGTGTAATTCCAGCATTTGTGGAGAGGAGGATTCCAGTGTCCAGGGAAAAGCTGTTCGGTTTATTTTTAAACGGAAGCACTTGGCCAGTGTGGAGAGGGAATGGTCCAGAGGTGAATCCCACCTCTCCAGGGCCAGGGAATCTGCTCCCTGCCAAATCCCTGATCTATGGAATCATGGAATGGTTTGGGTTGGAAAGAAATTTAAGGTTCATTCACTCAGGGACACCTCCCACTACCCCACGGTGCCCCAACCTGGTCTCGGACACTTCCAGGCATCCAAGGGCATCCCCAGCTGCTCTGGGAATTCGATTCCAGGGTCTCCCCACCCTCCCAGACAGGAATTCCTTCTCATTCCTGCATTTCCCCTTCCCCATTTGGTTCACATCCCTACGGATTGTGCCCAGCACCGCCGAGACCCGACTCACCCTCCGGAGAAGAAGAAGAAGTTCATCAGGCGCAGGAGGATGGGAGACAGCAACCCCCCATCCTTGAGGAGCTTGGGAAGAAGGGAGAAAAGGAGGGAGCACAACTCGGCATCGGACACACGGATAAATCCCTGGAGAGCTTTTCCCACCACGCCCAGCCCAGACCCTTGAGGTGTCCATGGGGCGCGACAGCAGCGCTCCAAGGGGTGTTTAGCTGGGATTTTGGGATTCGGTATGGCTGGAGAGGGGAGCAGCTCACCTTCTGGATGAAGCGGGGGTAGTACGCTTCGGGAAAAATCCCTGGAAGGACATCAAAGGACGGAGCTGTAAGGCTGGAAGTGTTTTGCTGCACATCTCCCAGGTTGTCCCCCTTCACGGCCCAGGGAGCCCCAAGACTGCTGCTCCCAGTTAATTACAGCACTTTGATTGCAATCCTTGGGATTTGGGGGATGGGGATGGGAAAGCCAATCCATCCCATGGATCTCCATCCCATGGATCCCCTTCCCATGGATCCCCATCCCATGGATCCCCATCCCATGGATCCCCCATCCCATGGATCCCCTTCCCATGGATTTCCATCCCATGGATCCCCTTCCTATGGATCTCCATCCCATGCATCCCCATCCCATAGATCTCCATCCCATGGATCCCCATCCCATGGATCCCCTTCCCATGGATTTCCATCCCATGGATCTCCATCCCATGGATTCCCATCCCATGGATCCCAATGCCATGGATCCCCATCCCATGGATCCCCATCCCATAGATCTCCATCCCATGGATCCCCATCCCATGGATCCCCATCCCATGGATCCCCATCCCATGGATCCCCATCCCATGGATCTCCATCCCATGCATCCCAATCCCATGGATCCCAATGCCATGGATCCCATCCCATGGATCTCCATCCCATCCCATGGATCCCAAACCCATGTATCCAAATCCCAAAATCCCACGGATCCCCATCCCACAGATCCCCATCCCACCCTGGACAAACCTCACCTCCGTTGGACAAACAGAGGCTGTTGATCAGGATGCTTCCAGTTTTGTTGCGCTCATACCTGGGGACAGCAGAGAAGAAGGTGAGACACGACCCGACCTCTCCGGGCTCCGAGAAACGACCCAGCAGGAGCTCAAATCGCGTCGGATCAGCTCCGTTCCCTTCGGGAATCGGGCGGACAGAAGCCTCGGGTGTGCCCTGAGACACCTCAGGCACAAGGAAAAGGGGATTCTGCGCCACGTCCTTCCACTTATCTGCTGGAAATCGTCTTGGTGGAGACACCAAAGGGCAGGAGGGGTGGCAGGGACCTGTGGAGCAGCTCCTGGGCCACCGTGTCCCCGTAGTCGTGGGACAGGAGGTTGATCCGCTGGTGCCGGAGCCCGAGGTGGCGCAGCAGCCCCTCCACGATGGTGGCCTGCTCGAAGATGGAGTAGCCATGGGGCCTCTAAAAAGTGGGAGAGGGGTCCCAGTGAGAGCCTGACCCAGCAGGAGCCCCCAGATTCCAGAATCAACATCCCAAGGGAGGAACGTGGAATTATGGAATATGGAAAGCAGCAGCTTGTGAGCCCACACTCAGCACTTGGGATGTCCTGTGATGTCCACAAGGCCGTGGGAGCATTGTCCATGCTCCAGAGGGGTCGAGGTGCATTTTGGAATCCCATCAAACCTCGCTGAAGGTCCACCAGAAACCTTCCCTATCCCTTCCACTGTTGTAATAGCTTTTCCCTTTTCCAGAGGTAAACAGGAGGACAAAAACCAATTTTTCTCCTGGGTGGCAAAAACCAATTTTCTGGAGCACTGGGCCGAAAGCAACCATGAAAATCCTTATCCCAGGGTACTCACAGGCTTGTCACTGAATCCAAATCCGAGGAAATCCAGGGCAATCACCCGGTGGAAGCGCTGGGTCAGCCCTTCCCAGATCTGGGAAGGGGAGAAATGCATTAAAAAAGCATCCAGCGGGAGCAGAGGATGGAAACATCTGCAGTGATGAGCAGCCATGGATGGACGTGCTCCTCCCCACCATCCCAGGAGAACATTCCAGCTCCAAGAAAACAGCAGCAGGTCAAAATTTCCCCAATAAACAGCCACACCATCCCCCAAAAAAGCCAAGGAATTTTGGCTGTTTTCCTGGACTGTGGGATGTGGAAAGAGCTTGGATTTCACACTGGGAGAAGAACAAGGTGGAGCACGGTGGTACCTCCAGCAGAAATCAGGAATTCTCCTCTGGAGCGTGGCCCACCCCTGCTGTGCTGCCCGCTCACCCCCAGGAGGTGAAAATCCCGGGATTTGCTGTCAGATTCCAAGCCCCTCACCTTGCTCCAGTCATAGCTGGACGTTGGGAAGCCGTGCAGGAGCACCACGACGTCAGAGCTGCCGACAGCGCCGCTGGAATCTGCGGGGAGAGCGGGACACCTCGGAGTCAGCTCTTCCCAAAAATTCCTCCCTTCTAGGACAGGAACTGCTCCCTTCTAGAACGGGAATTGAGTCCATCCCACTGGGAATCCACCTCTCCCTCTGCTCCCCAAAACCGAGGATGGGTTTGAGTCCCACCACGACTTCCCTTGGGAAACCTCACCAGCTCCATGGATTTTAAATGAATTGATAGAGGGATTTAATTAGCCCAAATGAATTCCAGCAGCCTCTGTGCTGCTGCAAAAAGGGTTTCCAGTGTCTTTTCCATGTTGGCATCCATTGGAGGATCCTGGGATCCTTCCCACCAAGGCACAAGAACCAACTTTCCCCAGTGAAACGTTCCGATCCATCCCCGGCCGATCCGGGACGGCAAAAACCGAGCGGGATTTGTCACCACCTGGCCGGGGTTTAGGAATGTCCCCGTGGCCACCGAGGGATGGATGGACTCTGTCACCTCTGTAGAAGATGCTGAGGTCCTTGTAGGTGAAGAAGCTTCCGGAGGATTTCCAGGAGCGGAGCGCCGGGGAAAGCTGGGGGGGTGGGATGTGCAGGTAGACGGCGAGGAGGGGCACGCCCAGCAGCCCCACCTGCAGCCACCACTCCTTCATCCTGCGGGACACGGCCGGGACACCGGGGTCACCCCGCAACTCCTGAGCTGCCTCTGAGCTCACCAGGTCTGGAGAAACCGCATCCGTGGCCCCAAAACTCCCCCATTCCCAGAACCCACCTCCATGGCCCCAAAACTCCTCCATTCCCATAACTTCCATGGCCCCAAAACTCCCCCATTCCCATAATTTCCATGGCCCCAAAACTTCCCCATTCCCAGAACTTCCATGGCCCCAAAACTCCCCCAGTCCCATAACCCACATCCATGGCCCCAAAACTCCCCCATTCCCATAATTTCCATGGCCCCAAAACTCCCCCAGTCCCATAACCCACATCCATGGCCCCAAAACTCCCCCATTCCCAGAACTTCCATGGCCCCAAAACTTCCCCATTCCCAGAACCCACCTTCATGGCCCCAAAACTCCTCCATTCCCAGAACCCACCTTCATGGCCCCAAAACTCCTCCATTCCCATAACTTCCATGGCCCCAAAACTCCTCCATTCCCATAATTTCCATGGCCCCAAAACT